GAGGCTGGATTTCCTTCAGAAAGTCCATCCCTAGAGTCATGATTTCCACCAGAAACATGATCATCTTTAGAAGCTTGACCTCCAGAACCTATATCTTCAAAGTTTTTCCTTCTAGAAGCATGACCATAACAGATTCAAAATCTGGATCAGAATCAGATTCACCATCTAACTCATCTTTAGAGGTTCCAGAGTCATCATCTTTTGACTCTAGCTCTTCTTTAGAACTTTCAAGTTCTGACTCATCTTCAGAAACAAAATCTTCTTCAGATTCTGACTCATCTTCTGATTCTTCTTCAGACTCAGAATCACCTTCAGATTCTGACTTGTCTTTAGCTTCAAAGCCATCTTCTAACTATGACTCATCTTTAAAAACCTCGGATTCTGACTCATCTTCAGAATCTTCAGCACCATCTTCTGATTCTGACTCATATTCAAACACTCCTTCAGAGTCAAAATATTCACAATCATCTTCTTTCTCTTCAGAATTAGAAAATGACAATCTCACAGGTTCTTCATCAGATTCATAAGCCATTAATAAGGCAGAATCATCATTTGAATCTCCTCTGGCTATTTTTACTTCTTCTTTGTTTTACCAACAATATTTAGCAAAGTGTCCAAACCTATTACAACAGTAACACTGAACCATTCTCTTGTCATACTTCTCATTTTCGTTCTAATGTTTCTTTTCATCAGAATAGAAGATTTATGACTTTTGGGATCTACCATGTTTTTTATCTTCTGGTTCTTCTTGACAAAAGAAGCTTTCAGAGCATGCTCAACTTCCCTCTCAAAAGTTCTTTAAGTCAGACACAACTCTTGCGCCTCTAGACTGCTTTGTAGCTCTTCTATTCTCATGGTGTCCAGATATTTAGAATGTTTAATTGCTACAGCAATGTAATCAAATTGAGGATTAAGAGACCTCAATATCTTCTCAATAATTACTTGTTCAAACAGGGTTTCTCCACTAGCTTTTATCTCATTAGTGATCAGAATCACTCTAGAGATGTACTCAAAAACCTTCTCATTGTTCTTTATGTTGATATTCTCATACTACTTTCTGAGAGACTGGAGCTTCACCTTCTTCACCGATGTGTCACCACCATAGTACCTACTCAGTGTGTTCCACGCAGCCTTCGCTGTCGTTGAATCAACAATTTTCTCAAACATGTTCCCATCCACACACTGATGGATGAAGAACAGCGCCTTCTGATCTTTTTCTTGTATCTCTTTGTGCATATATTTGTTCCTTCGCCGCGTCTACTGCAACTGGAACATAACCATTTGTAACAAGCTCAAGAATATCCTGAGCGCCAAACAACACACGCATTTGAATCATTCAACGATTCCGATTTTTGCCATTAAATATTGGAAGCTTGGTTCTTAGACTACCATTTTCAGTCATCTTCAACCTTGTATAGAACACTCAGATCTCACAAACACAATGTTTCTCAATCCCACAGAATCAGAAAAATGTGATTCTGTTCAGATTTTATTCAATATTCAACACGAATTCAAGAATCAAAATCAATCACACAACGCCTCACCGTTTCACTCGTGTTTCCCGTGAATCCAACTGGAGCTCTAGATATCAATTTGTTCGTGTACAAGGTTAGTAAATGAAGGAAAGGTAAGAGAGAATATATTTACTGCAATGACGACTATAAAACTTATAAAAGGAATGATACAAATAATTGTTACTACTAGTCTATTTATACACAAAGTAAATTTTCACATATGCCCTAATAAAAGTAAACTTAATGACTAAGTTAAAAAGTTAAAACTAGGAAATATTAAACTTAACAGCTACGCTAACAAACTCAGCTCCAGAACCCCAAAAGTTAAACATACTTCTGGGCGTAACCTCAAAAGCTTATGCTTCTGACTAATAACAATTTCGTGAATATATCAAACTACTGCTTTTAACTAAGCAGTCTCATAAGTTTACAAGTTCTAACTAACAACCTCATAAATTCAACTGCTTTTGAGCAACACTGCTTCTGAGCAACAACATCAGAAACTTCTAACTTTAACAACTTCTAAATATAAATTACTTCCAACATATTTTTCGTATTGTTTTGCCTTTCTAGTGTATATTTGTTTTAGATTTTAGCAAGTTTTCATTCTCTTTTGTATCATGTTACCCTTGGCATGTCTCATGCCTTATTTTATTTTATTCAATATAATTTCTATTTTGCTTAAACAAATGTGGTGTGATGTTTAGCATGCCTTGTTATGAGAGTTAATTACACATATGCTACAATAATGTTTTGAATTTTTACCAATTTAAATATTGAGTTAAAAATTTTATTTTTTAAATGTTGATTTTTTTTATTTCATTATCTTATGGGTTATTTTTTTTCTTTTTGTGTGATTAGATTATTTAATACATTTAAGCTTATACAATTACTGTTCATTTTAATATTAAATAATTCAATTCAAATTTATACTACTTTTAAAAAAATTATACAATATTAAATAAATTTTAACATGTTTCATATTCAGACGACAAATGTTTTTTAATCACTTCTTATTAGCTTTTTCTTTTTATTCTTCGTTTGATCCTGAATCCAACTCATTTCTTTTTCTGTATCTCCATTATCTCTAGAATAAGTATAAAAATAAGATAAATTTGAAGGATGAATTGAGTTTCCGGCTTCTTTTAGGGAATGAAGAGACTCGTGTCTTCGCAAGTATATCCGTCGTCGTCCTTTTATTTTATTCAATTTTGAAATTATATATATATATATATATATATATATATATATATATATATATATATATATATATATATATATATATATATATATATATATATATATATATATATATATATATATATATATATATATATATATATATATATATATATATATATATATATATATATATATATATATATATATATATATATATATATATATATATATGTATGTCACAGGCCAGATTTAGGTTTATTGTTGAAAATATTAAATAATAGTAAAGTTGTTCTATTATTATTCAATATTTTAATAAGTAAATTTATGTTTCCGTTAATATTTAATAAGTTGATCAATTATTTCATGTTTTCGTTAATATTCAATATTTTAATTAGTAATTTCATGTTCTCGTTAATATTAAATAGTTTGATCAATAACTTCATATTCCCGTTAATATTTAATATTTTGATCAGTAATTTTACGTTCTCGTTAATATTCAATATTTAATCAGTAACTTCATGCTCCCGTTAATATTCAATATTTTGATTAGTAACTTCATGTTCCCGTTAATATTCAATATAGCTTCATCAATAATGTATATTTCCGCTAATATTTAATATATAAATTAGTAAATTAATGTTTTTGTTATTATTCAATATTTTGATCAGTAACTTTATTTTCTCGTTAATATTCAATATTTTGATATGTAACTTCATGTTAATGTTAATATATTTTGATCAATAACTTCTTATTTTTGTTAATATTCAATAATTTGATCAGTAACTTCATGCTCCCGTTAATATTAAATATTTTGATATGTAACAACATGTTCTTGTTAATATTCAATATTTTGATCTCTAACATCATGTTCTTGTTAATATATGATCAGTAATTTCTCATTATTATTCATTTTTTTACAAGTAACTTCATATTTCTGTAATTTCATATTTCTCGTTATTGTTTAATTTTTTTTTAAAGTATGATTAGTAAAACTTGAAATTTTTTAAAGTGTAGGGACTTGCTAGGTTCTAAATAATTACCAAACCAAAACTCAAGAACAAATTAAAGTTGGATATAATGTCTCACCATGACCTTAATTAATAGTTCTATTACATTGGAAATGGGACATAAATTAAATATTGAATGTAAATTCTGTGTAAATTCTTGAGAACACAAATTGCTTAAAACAAAAAAGAGTGTATACCCACGTTATTATGAGATTTTTCATTGATGATGATGATATAGCTATCTTATAAACACCTTGTTAGAAATAAACTCCACTCAAAACTAATATACATTGAACATTCAAAATAAGATATTGAATCTAAATAATCACATGATAGAATGGAAAGTTTTATGATATTTGTTCTCTAGGGATCCCAGTGGAAGAAAGAAGTGGCAAGATAACAAAGGGTCCCACTACACCCTGAAATTTAGATGATAACTATGCATAATAGGTTTTTGGTTGGCACAATACGCATGTTATGGTGATAAAAGAGGAAAAAAATGTCTTTAATTAGTTGCATGTGTTCCAACAAATTCCTACACTTAACCGAGTATATCAGAGCAAAAGCAAATGTAAGTTTTTCACTGTCGAAAACATGTTTCTGTCTCTTGACATTTACAGCTGCCAGTTTTAGCCAAGAATATATAACTTATCTGAGTACGAGTTTGATTGATCACCAACTACACAAGTATGATTGTATTATTCCTTTCAATCCAGGATTGACAAACAGGTTTATTAACATCATTTTCTTCCTCCAGATCAAACTTCCTACATAAGGAATATGCCTTTGAAAGTAAATATCGAGTCGTACTATTTCAAGGTCCCAATGTCGGGGTCATGTTTCAATGTTCTTGCTTTGTAGCATAAGAATGATTCCACGACATGCATGGCCATCAGCAGTGCAAGTGACAATGTTTCGATCATCGGAGTGAGGCATAAACTTAGCCTGAAAAACATTGTTACTGTGAACAGAATGAAAAGAGGGCTTACTACGACCAGCTTCCCAATCCCAGAGAATAACCAAGAGCATTGGACTAAAAATAAAAGGATTTCATTGGACTAAAAATTTAAACTCTCTAATCTAAACTTTAACAAACACTACAATAGTATAAATTATTAGTTATGTTTACACCTTAAGTTTAAACTCTCTAATCTAAACTTTAACAAACACTATACCAGATTTTATGTATTCATCTAACTCCTCTGCACTCTCAAGTTGTATTCGCAAGGAGTTTAGGTTGCCATACTTTAATTCAGTAGCGATGTTTAGGTCATACTCCCGCTTATCCTGATGGATCTCAAGATTCACCCTGTCTACCAACTAAATCTATATATACTTGTTCTATAGTTGAAAACATGATGAAAATATTACAGAATTCCATAATAGAAGTTGATTTCATCTCTGGCAGCATTTGTGTAGCGCGTTCATAAGACTTGACGAAAGAATCGTCCATTTTTCTGTTTTTCGTTGATGCAGTTACTGCATGAATTAGAAACCTTGCTTCTGGAATCTTGTTCATTTGCATTAAACATATTGTCAAATTAAACTGTTTGTTCCTATCAACCTTAGAGGAAAGTGCTTTTCTGAAAGAAACAAATAAGGAATAATTATCACTTCTATCTCTAAAGAAAAACAAAACTCAAATACATTTTGATTCCGTCAAATAAAAGGCTAACATATAACGTTCTTCTGCGGTTTTATAGTCTCCTTTTTGCAAATAAGCCAAATTCTAAAATAAATAATTTAATTTACAATGATATGACTTGATGGAGATAGAATTTGCAAAAAATAGTAAAACAATTAAATATTTTGGGAAGTAAAGCATACTGCAGAAATTAAACAGAAACTCCAATTGTCAAAATATACCAGTCGGAAACTTACGGGGCAAGATGGCTCCTGGCAAGTGCAAAGTAAATTGTCCAGAATTGATTGTCCTTCAAATGGCGAGGACATAATACATATCTCAGTTGCGACATTTCCTGGAATGTAATTAAACTATAGTTATGTTCGGTTCTATTTGCACAACTTTAACTTTTCCTTTCACTACACAGCTATAAAATTATTAAGTAACAATATTATTTAGAATGAAGTCAAATTATGGTGTTAATAAAAAGATAGATAACAAAAAATTGAATGAACACGCAAATCAGCCAACACACACCAATGATACCACATCTTTGTCTTCACATAGTAGTAGTATATTGAGTAAAAATTAACATAAAGACATCACTCTTAGGCTTAGCAGTCAGCTTACCAGTATGGAACATACTCTGGTGCATCATATCCTATGGTGCCAAAAACCTTGTAAAAAGAAAATAATTCATTCATTTTTCTTATCAATAGAATATTTAGAGTGTATTACAAACTAAGGTTTATAGTTCAGAACTCCAACCTGCAATATGAAGTCATGAAATTCAACTCAGCAAAAAAAAGTTAAAAATATATGTAATTGTTCAAGATAAGCTTGTCGGCGTGTTATTGTAATCATCTAATTTTATCATGCAATATTGTCAATTTTCTATCATTATGGTATATACCTAAAAGTAAAGTCTAAGTCTATTTTTATATTTCCTGTCAAAATAGAAAGAAGTGTATACTTACTTTTTCTCTGCAAGATATAGACATTTACTTACAGCTGTTGAAACTAACCAGACCCTTCTGAGGGTTCTTGCCGAGCTCGACCAATGTCATTATGACTAAGCTAAGCATATAGAAAAACAAAATATCAATGTCAGAAAATATTATTAAATTGAATGAATTGAAAATCAAATTAAACTTAAAAAATATTTTCCTCCAATAAGATTGCTGCGAGCCACCCAAATCTATAGTAGTCGATACCTCATGCGAACCATGCCTTAACAAAAAAAACGCAAATTGGGGATGAAATTGAGAGAGCGGAATAGAAACAAATCTTGAGAAAGTGATAGAGTGGTTGCTGGTTCTGAAAGTGTAGATTGCTAGTGCAACATTCTGGATTAATTTCAAGAATCTTTGCGCTCAAATCTAACACTTCTTGTGTATATCTACAACCAGATTTATCCAAATCAAACAAAAAGAAAATGAAAGAGAAGAAAGAATAAGCAACATACATGCAATCATGGTGATTGGCGAAGAAATAAGATTGAAGTGCACGAAGCTTTTCCACTTTGCCTAATAAAACCGATTCATCTTCTTTCTTCAACGGTTTGTGAAAGGGATCGATCGTGGAGTAGTAAGAGGAGTGGTTTTTGAATTGAAGACGGAAGAGAAATAAGTATACACATATTTCATCAAATTATATTATGTAAATACTTATATGTTTAAATTAATTTATAAAATTATGAGGACTAAATATTTGTTTATTATTATAATAACAACTCATTTGAAAAAGTGGTATTAGAAAATAATTTAATTGTATTTTTTTTGTAACAAAAATTTATACCATGAGTGAACACAAATTTGTTTGGAACTTTCTTGTAATATCTATACTATTCTATGTACTATCTATGCCAACATTATATTTTTCATAAATATCCTAATGTTCAGTAGGTTTTAAGCTATATCTAAATGAATTTATTGGTGCAAATAGACAGATAACACATAAGTACTATATAAATATACAGGTAATCATATTAACATTTCTGCATATGTATAGGTTTTTATATTTTTTGTAATAATAAAAAAAATAAAAGTTAAATTTATGTCAGTTGTATTATTAATTTTTCATTTTTTTTATATTTTAAACCATAGTCTAAAATTTAATAAATATAATATTAAACTTAACTCTTTTAGATAGATTTTTATGTAATTATTAATTTTTTTTCAATTTATTTTAATTTTGAAAATTTATTTGTCTCATTTTTTAAACTTTATAAATGTTTTTATTATTACAACTCTATCAACTTTAAAAAAATATTTTTTTTGACTTAAATCCACTTTTGATCCCCTAGTTTGGAGTTTCTAAAAAAATTGTCTCCCTATTAAAAAATCAACAAATTTTGTCCCTTTATTTAGCATGTCTTGACATCTATTTGGTCTCCCATCCATTTTAAATGATATGTCAAATATTTTAATTATATTATAAAAATATATCATATCATTATTACTCTATATTTTATTAATTAATCCAATTGTTTAGTTAAAATTATGTTATTAATTGAAAATAATAAAATTTTAATTGAAATTAAAATTAATATAAGTTTCAGGTTCTTTATAAAAAAACCAAATCCCCTTTCATTCACCCATTGCATCCCTAAATCGTCGTTTGTCACTGTTCACCGTCTTCCTCACGAATCCTTCACCCTCACATGTCGCATCAATTTGACTTCAGCCATCGCAGCAGATCTTCAAGTCGTCCGCGGTATGTCTGCAAGTGTGGTCTTGATGCTCTGTTGATGACAGCATGGACGGATGCAAACTCAGGTCGTCGTTTCTACGGATGTGGCATGTATAAGGTTAAAATCATTTTGTTATTCTTCCCTTGTAATTGGTTTGGGTATTCATTCATCTTTGTCTTCATCGGTCTGAACAGACATAAGGATTAAAAAATGCACACATTTTGCTTGGTTGGACGAGGAGATGAATCCTAGGGTAAAAGAGTTAATATCTACACTATTAAAGAACTTGAATGAGGAGAAGGAGATGGTCAACACCTACAAAGTAAAGGAGGACGAATTGAAGAAGAAGGTTAAGATCATGAAGACGCAATTGAAGATTAATTGATTTTTTTTTGTCATGTTGTTTGCATTTGTTGGAATAACATTGATGAAATAGGGTATATTTCAGTAGATTTTATTTTGTGTAATGGTGTAATGGTTAGGTCTGTTGTTGTGTAATGGTGTAATGGTTAGGTCTGTTGTTGTGTCATGGTGTAATGGTTAGGTCTTTTGACAGTAATGTGCCTTATAACAGAATTTTGTTGTTGTGCCTGATAACAAAATTTTGACTCTTATTTGACACAATTTGGATATTTGTAACTAGACTCCATTATGTCAGCAATGTGCCTTATAACAAAATTTTGTAATCAATTTAATAACACCAATATTCAGTCTTATAACAGAATATTGTAACTGTTGTACCCCCAATTTTTCCCTCTCTTTTCTCAAGACATTTCTCACAAAAATTTCCAAAAGCTCAAGTTTGCACAAGTACAATTGGACTTTTTAATGCCCCATATAGTTTCCATGGATCATATTGGGCTTTCAAGCATCAGGTCGAAGATGGAACTTCTGAATCTTCGAAAGGAGGAAGAGGAAACTGTCGAAAGGGCAAAGCAGATAAAAGAAAAAGGGTGCAGCTGCAGATAACTATGTCGAATTCAAAATCTGGTTCAGGCTGCTCGAACTACATGACTGATTGAAAGGAGTGGTTGGCAGATTTTGACAAGTCGAAGAAGAGAAACCTTACTTCGATCCACAAGCTTCGACTGGACAATGACTTCCTTCGAGCAACCTGCTTCGATCCACCTTTAAACCCTTCGAAACACATAGTTTCGACACTATGAATTACAATTTGACACACCACTTAATTCATTGTGTCTGAACAATCTATACTCATCATGGTTCTTAATCTTCTAAATACTTCGACCTGCACTCCCTTCGTCATATGATGTTTGCAATCTGATTCTCAGTTCTGCAGTGTTCCAAATTCATCTTCCCATATGCTACCTGCTCTCGGAGATAATGGAACATCATTTCGATTGTGTTTGCTTCGACCATGTACTATTGGGTTCTTTGCCATATTGATAGCTGACATGTTGTCTATCTTCATGCTTTCTTCGATCCACAAGCTTCGACTGGGCAATGACTTCCTTCGAGCAAATTGCTTTGATCCACTTCTAAACCCTTCGACACACATAGTTTCGACACTATGAATTACAATTTGAGGTTTGGAAATTTGAACTTTCGACCACTTAATCAACTGATTACTTAAGATATGGTTACTGGTAGGAAAGAAATCCTGAAATTCTTTCATTTCGACTATGCCAAAGAGATCATCTTGCATACTCAAAGTGGTACATTCAGATAAATATGGTCCATTCGAAGAACATACAATTAGTGGAAATAAATATTATTTTGTTTGTTGATGAGTTTGGTTGAAGGTTGTGGATCTATGTGATCAAAATGAAAGGACGAAGTAAGTGGTACATTCAGATGAATGTGGTCCATTCGAAGAACATACAATTGGTGGAAACAAATATTATTTTGTCTGTTGATGAGTTTGGTCGAAGGTTGTGGATCTATGTGATCAAAACGAAAGGACGAAGTAAGTGGTACATTCAGATGAATGTGGTCCATTTGAAAAATATACAATTGGTGGAAACAAATATTGTTTTTGTCTGTTGATGAGTTTGGTCGAAGGTTGTGGATCTATGCGATAAAAAAGAAAGACGAAGTAAGTGGTACATTCAGATGAATATGGTCCATTCAAAGAACATACAATTGGTTGAAACAAATATTGTTTTGTCTCTTGAGGAGTTTGGTCAAAGGTTGTGGATCTATGTGATCAAAATGAAAGGACGAAGTAAGTGGTACATTCAGATGAATATGGTCCATTCGAAGAACATACAATTGGTGGAAAAAAATATTGTTTTGTCTGTTGATGAGTTTGGTCGAAGGTTGTGGATCTATGTGATCAAAACGAAAGGATGAGGTATTCGACATCTTTTAGAGATTCAAGATGCTTGCTGAACAAAGTACTATATGCTGTCAAGCCCAGGCTTGTTGTACTGTTCACATAACAGCCTAAAACCATATCAAAAAATAGTCTGTTATACTGCTATGAAACAACCCTGCACCAAGCTGCCACAACACTTCAAAACTGCTGCAAAATAGTCCTGCTATGCTACTCCTAAACAAGTCCAAGCCTGTATTATCTCAGTCCCATATTCACACCAAATTAGCATATAAGAGCTTCACCTTAAAAGCTATGAAAAGAGCATACCCAAACAGTTCAAATTTTATTTGTTTTCCCCCCGAAAACCCCAGCAAGACTCTTC